TGTCAGGCCGCTATCGATCCCAATGGCGTACATACGCGTTATTGATGGTAGCTGACCTTCACCTTGGACTTTTCCTATGTACTGATAACCGAGAAGACAACAATCACCAAGTGTTCTTCCACTACATTTTGTCTCAATACCGTGTACGGTTCCACGTATAAATCGAAGTCAGCAATAGTTATCATTGTTAATAATTCTAACAATACTACCTGTATTACATCTTTGCCATAAATCCTGTATTTTGGCTTCAGTCACACTAGCTAAATTTTTCAGATTTTCAACAGACGTCCTTTTCACTGTCAATTACACAATTAGTTGTTCCCAAATAGTATCGTAACCAACCAAGTCATGACGTATGCAATGGCGGAAAGCTTCACTTTACCCACATGTAACCACTAGAGGTAGATTAATTTGGGAGCTGAATGGGAGGACTTTCGATGTAATAGGATAAACAAGGATAAACCATTATTTAGATAATTTCCTCTGAAATTCCCCATGAGGACTTTAAAATCAGAAATGTATCAAGTGAGTGAGTGAGTGAGTTGAGTTTAACGTCGCTTTTAACATCATTCCAGTTATATCACGGCGTGTCAGCTTAATGTGGGAGGAAAGCCCGAAGTGATGCAGGTCTAAGAGAAATGTATCAAGAATTAGTCAAACATGTGATACCTTCACTAGAATTACAGTTATATTTGCTGGTCCTGTTCGTAATAATGTCATTTCTAATCTATACCCAACAACAAAAGTTCCTGTGACACCAATATTTTAGTTTTAGTGTATTTTTCAAACAAGTAAAGTTTGGTTTTCAATATTGTAGTACATGTATGGAATCAAGTCACAAAGACGCAACTGCTACAGAAAAGCATGCATTCCATGCAAATGTTGACTTTTATGCAAGCCCCATGCATTTCACTACCCAGGAATGGGTAAAAAAACATGTGCGTTAACGGGATTCCATATGCATTGTTTAGCATCGTGCTGACAACAACCACTCAGAAAAACAACAAAATTACGCAATTATTCAACATTACGAAATGCCACGCCTGTCCGAAAATGAGCGTCTGCGAGCCATTGGTATGCTCGAAGCAGAATCGAGTCAACGTGATGTTGCAAGACAATTTAACGTCCACAGAAACACCATTTGGTGTTTATGGCAACGTTGGCAACAGACGAATGCAGTCAGAGACCATCCTCGGAGTGGCAGGCCACGCGTAACCAATAATCGACAAGACAACTGGATTCGAACAACACACCTACGAAATTGAATCCAGCCAGCAACAGTGACTACAAGCAGCATCCCTAGCCTTCGACGACTATCTTCACAAACCGTACGTCGTCGCCTCAGATGTGCAGGGATTGTCGCCAGAAGACCCGCCAGACGTCCCATTTTGACAGTAAACCACCGTCAAGCACGTCTACAGTGGTGCAGACAGCGTCTATGCTGGACGGCTATGCAGTAGGGACAAGTTCTATTCACTGACGAGTCTCGTTTTCACCTCAGCCACAGCGATGGACGGATTCGAGTGTACCGACGTCGAGGTGAACGTTACGTCAATCATTGTGTCATGGAAGAAGATCCGTTCGGGGACAGCAGCGTTAGGTATGGGGTGGGATTACAGCAAGACAGAGGACCCGTTTGATAGTGGAAATCTCAATGGACAGCGCTACCGCGACGAGATCATCGGCTCTGTTGTTCTACCGTTTTTGCGTCGTCATGGCCCAGGCATTACCTTTCAACATGACAACGCCCGGCCTCATATTGCTCGACTTGTTCAGGTTTCTCTTCAATAAAACAACGTGAATGTTATCCCCTGGCCGGCTCGCTCCCCTGATCTCTCACCAATCGAGCACATGTGGGATGAAATGGATCGGCGCCTTCGACGTCAACCACGTGTTCCACAGACACTCCAGGAACTTCGAAACATGCTCGAGCAGATATGGACAGATATCCGACAGGACTTTGGGCGACGCCTGGTCCATTCCATGAAACGAAGATGGGTTGCTTGCATCGCACCCAGAGGTGGACACACACGCTATTGATATGTAAATTGACTTTTTGGCATGTTCATGTTTTTTTTATTTATGAAATCACGCATTTTCTGAAGTCAGTATAGCAAATTAAACCATTTAAACACAGTCTTTTATCTGTTGCAAACCGAAATTGTTTCAGATTTGGTAAAAAACATTACTTTGCATTAAATCTTATTCAATGTCACAGGAACTTTTGTTGTTCAGTATATTTCTGCACAATGTCGTCATTTCTTCTTAAATTTGGATTTGTGACACTAATACCGGTGCTGGCGTCACTTGTGATGCTGCTGCTGTCGGAACCTCGAAAGGGTCTATAACATCTGCGTGGGTGGCAGGGAAGTCAGAATTTACGTTCGCCTCGTTGATTGGAACCTCGTTTCTTGTTGTCTGGCTGACGAAAAGATTGGCGTTTGTCATGGTTGGAACGAATCAATCCTGGAGGGGACAAACTTCTTCTTAGGAGGCTGTTTGTGAGACGAGTCTTTTTGGTACCAGGGACGCTTCTGGAATTGGAAGATCCATGAGCCTTGGCAGCAAGGCTGAAGCTTGGAATCTTTCCGTTGTATCTTGCCTGACTTCGTCGATTGCATGTCACAGTTTCCTGTTGAATGTCGTGTGAGCTGATACGGGCTGTGGCATTATCAACCTCTTGGTTTGGTTTGAAACGGCCTTAGAACGAATCTGGGCTAAGAGTTGTTGACGCTGCACAATAGCTGTGAAGACATCCAGACTTGGGTGGAGAGTAGGTCTTCATGCATTCTTACAATAGTATCTATTAGGCTGTGAATGAGTCTCACTTGATCAGTCCAGATTGTCAAGGGCGTATCTCCGCATATGCCTTCATACGATGTCTGTAATGGTGGAATGATGTGTCCGACAAACCAGTTGATATAAGCGCCAATGTCCAAAGAATATCTGGGGACCGATGACATATCCTTAATCCGCGAAGCAGGTAAGGTGATATCAGTACTAGGATTGCGTACAAGCTTCAAGAAACAAGCTCATCCAAACTTGTACAGTCCGGAAGTAGAGCATTGTGTGTCTTATATAACTTCCGTTTCAATGGCGGTAAGGGTACCACGTAATCCCCGTGCGGTTCACCCCCTGCCGGTGTCCAGGATTCCGGTATGATCAAAGTCCGTGCTTTGTGATGTCTGCCCGTAAGTAACAGGTCTCGTACGGTGATCCCCCCCTCTGTCGGTATAACGTTCGGCTGGATTGGGTACCGTCTGCTGCTGAAGATCATACGGTAGGCCTATCGACTGGGCGGTCGGTGGATTAGCCGTGGAGTCCGTGCCGGTACCTAACGGTCGGCTGGGCGAAGGGCTGAGATATCCTGGAGTCCGTGCGGCGGACGTGGTCGGTCGATGCCATGCGGCGACCGTACGGTGTTTTGGCTTGGGAGTTTTGCCTTGCGGTACCCTGCTGGGACCCAAGTCTTTCCGTGTCTCACGGTAGGGAAAAGCCTGCAGGCTTGTATCCGGCTGGTCAGACTGCTGATCGGTCGGGTGGCCGTATGGCTGTACTGGCTGGTTGACCAGCTAGTCTGGTCGGTACGGTCGGCTGGGGTAGGCCCTACGACCGTAGCAGATGGCTGTCCTGACCTGGGACTCTACTTAGCCAGAACTACTAACTGCTTGCCGTAAAAGGCGACTCTGCTTCTCGTAAGAGGCGACTAATTGGATCGGGTGATCAGGCTCGCTGACTTGGTGGATGCATGTCATCGATCCCAATTGCGTGGATCGATGTTCATGATATCAATCACTGGATTGTCTGGTCCAGACTCGATTATTTACAGACCGCCGTCATATAGCTGGAATATTGCCGAGAGCGGCGTTAAACAACGAACAAACAAACAAACAAAACATGGTTATTTGAGAGAACTTCGTCTCAAACATCGTCTTCATCATATGTTGTTGCTGTTTTAGAAGATCGTGTATCAAGCTCATAGAGAGCGCAGGAGATGAATCTGCTGGTCGACTGGGACACCTAACCTCTTCAGTACATAGCGTCCCTCTGCACCTCGTGCAGTTAAGGTGATGATCTCCCGTGATCATGAATTGACCACACTTCTTGCAACCAGGAGTAGAGGGAGACTCCATTATGACCTCACAGCAAGCACCTGACACCAGCTTAAACTTTCGTGCGTGCGATCGTCACTCCAGCTAGCAGCCTTATAATATGTTCTTACAGTGTCTGTTCTATAGAAAATTATTACAATTATCTTAGACTTATGTGACCAAATACCAAGTGCTAGATCGTTACATCTATGATATAGGTGTTCACTCTAGCACACACAGGGAAGAAGTGGAGGTTTCCGCAATTGCATACGTCATGGCTTGGTTGGTTACGATGCAATTTGGGAACTAGTTGTGTAATTGACAGTGAAGAGGACGTCTGTTAAAAATCTGAAAATTTTAGTTAGTGTGACTGAAGCCAAAATACAGGATTTATGGCAAAGTTGTAATAGGGGTAGTAAGTTTCGTAAGAATTATGAATTTTCCTACCTCACACAAATCTGGCTTTGCGTTTCTTTTTTTTGAAGAGTATAGTATTGTCAGTTTCAGCAGTCGCAAGAGGGTCAGACGAAAGACAGAGAAAGACGAGATGTAATTGAAGAAGATGGGAAGAAAGTAAGAGATGGGGAAAGGAGGCTATGGAAATGAGGGAGACGGGAGGAAGGAGGAGATGGGAGGAAGGGGGGAACGGGAGGAAGGGGGAGACGGAAGGAAGGAGGAGAGAGGAGGAAGGGGGAGACGGGAGGAAGGAGGAGAGAGGGGGAAGGAGGAGGGGAAAGAGAGGAGATGGAGCAAGTGTGGAGGAAGGGGGTTCATGAGGAAAGAGATGGGAAGACGGAGGAGATGAAGAGGAAGGATGAAGGGGAAAGGAGGAGAGAGGAGGAAGGAGGAGACGGGGGGAAGAGGCGATGGGGAAGGAGAGGAGATGGAGCAAGTGTGGAGGAAGGGGGTTCATGAGGAAAGAGATGGGAAGACGGAGATGTAGAGGAAGAGGAAAGGAAAAGATGAAAAGGAAGGAGACAGGTGGAAGAGGTGATGGTGAAGAGAGGAGACAGGTGGAAGAGGTGATGGGGAAGAGAGGAGACAGGTGGAAGAGGTGATGGGGAAGAGAGGAGACAGGTGGAAGAGGTGATGGGGAAGAGAGGAGACGGGAGGAAGAGGTGATGGGGAAGAGAGGAGACAGGTGGAAGAGGCGATGGGGAAGAGAGGAGACAGGTGGAAGAGGTGATGGGAAGAGAGGAGGAAGAGGTGATGGGGAAGAGAGGAGGAAGAGGTGATGGGGAAGAGAGGAGACAGGTGGAAGAGGTGATGGGGAAGAGAGGAGACAGGTGGAAGAGGTGATGGGGAGGAGAGGAGACAGGTGGAAGAGGTGATGGGGAAGAGAGGAGACAGGTGGAAGAGGTGATGGGGAAGAGAGGAGACAGGTGGAAGAGGTGATGGGGAAGAGAGGAGACGGGAGGAAGAGGTGATGGGGAAGAGAGGAGACGGGAGGAAGAGGTGATGGGGAAGAGAGGAGACAGGTGGAAGAGGTGATGGGGAAGAGAGGAGACAGGTGGAAGAGGTGATGGGGAAGAGAGGAGACAGGAGGAAGAGGTGATGGGGAAGAGAGGAGACAGGTGGAAGAGGTGATCGGGAAGAGAGGAGGAAGAGGTGATGGGGAAGAGGGGAGGAAGAGGTGATGGGGAAGAGAGGAGACAGGTGGAAAGGTGATGGGGAAGAGAGGTGACGGGAGGAAGAGGTGATGGGGAAGAGAGGTGGAAGAGGTGATGGGGAAGAGAGGAGACAGGTGGAAGAGGTGATGGGGAAGAGAGGAGACGGGAGGAAGAGGTGATGGGGAAGAGAGGAGACAGGTGGAAGAGGTGATTGGGAAGAGAGGAGACAGGTGGAAGAGGTGATGGGGAAGAGAGGAGACAGGTGGAAGAGGTGATGGGGAAGAGAGGATACAGGTGGAAGAGGTGATGGGGAAGAGAGGAGACAGGTGGAAGAGGTGATTGGGAAGAGAGGAGACAGGTGGAAGAGGTGATGGGGAAGAGAGGAGACGGGAGGAAGAGGTGATGGGGAAGAGAGGAGACGGGAGGAAGAGGTGATGGGGAAGAGAGGAGACAGGTGGAAGAGGTGATGGGGAAGAGAGGAGACAGGTGGAAGAGGTGATCGGGAAGAGAGGAGGAAGAGGTGATGGGGAAGAGAGGAGGAAGAGGTGATGGGGAAGAGGGGAGGAAGAGGTGATGGGGAAGAGAGGAGACAGGTGGAAAGGTGATGGGGAAGAGAGGTGACGGGAGGAAGAGGTGATGGGGAAGAGAGGTGGAAGAGGTGATGGGGAAGAGAGGAGACAGGTGGAAGAGGTGATGGGGAAGAGAGGAGACGGGAGGAAGAGGTGATGGGGAAGAGAGGTGGAAGAGGTGATGGGGAAGAGAGGAGACAGGTGGAAGAGGTGATCGGGAAGAGAGGAGGAAGAGGTGAAGGGGAAGAGGGGAGGAAGAGGTGATGGGGAAGAGAGGAGACAGGTGGAAAGGTGATGGGGAAGAGAGGTGACGGGAGGAGGAGGTGATGGGGAAGAGAGGTGGAAGAGGTGATGGGGAAGAGAGGAGACAGGTGGAAGAGGTGATGGGGAAGAGAGGAGACAGGAGGAAGAGGTGATGGGGAAGAGAGGAGACAGGTGGAAGAGGTGATCGGGAAGAGAGGAGGAAGAGGTGATGGGGAAGAGAGGAGGAAGAGGTGATGGGGAAGAGGGGAGGAAGAGGTGATGGGGAAGAGAGGAGACAGGTGGAAAGGTGATGGGGAAGAGAGGTGACGGGAGGAAGAGGTGATGGGGAAGAGAGGTGGAAGAGGTGATGGGGAAGAGAGGAGACAGGTGGAAGAGGTGATGGGAAGAGAGGAGACGGGAGGAAGAGGTGATGGGGAAGAGAGGTGGAAGAGGTGATGGGGAAGAGAGGAGACAGGTGGAAGAGGTGATGGGGAAGAGAGGAGACAGGTGGAAGAGGTGATGGGGAAGAGAGGAGACGGGTGGAAGAGGTGATGGGGAAGAGAGGAGACGGGAGGAAGAGGCGATGGGGAGGAGAGGAGATGGGAGGAAGAGGCGATGGAGGGGAAGGTTTTCGACGTCTTTTTTCTTTTATTGTGATAAGTGGATCCATAAAGTTTCTCTTCTTTTAAGGGATGGTTAGTTATTTCAACTGACAGTTTGAAACTGATTTTCAGTTTAATATAGTTTTGAACTGGGATCACCTGGCCAACTGTAGGATTACTATCAACTGCCTAAACCTAAAAAAGGGAACCAAGATTTCTGTAAGGAGGCATTACACATGGAAACAGACTGCTGAGATAAACAATCATCCACCACTGATTTGTCTGGCAGGCGCAATGACTCTACATGCTGCTCTGATGTATGGTGGTTGAAGACATGACACTTGACTGTTGATAAGTAAACTAGGTTCAGACCAGTTACTGTCCAGACCGGGTTTCAGGTGAGTCATTGGGCAATGGTATAGATATGACAGTGTTGTATCTAACGTACCTATCTGCTGTGGACTTATGTAAGGATGTGGGCAACAGATCTGACGAAGTCAGTTAGAAGTCGTTGTCAAGCACTTTGACAAACTATGGTGTAAGGGAGACTACTCTTGTCAGCCGCTCTCAAAAGGCCACAGGCTGAAATGCTAGCCACTGGTTGGCTGATTGCAAGAATGGGAGGATTTGAGAGTCTTGCGAGCAGCCAGACACAAGTCATTTTTGTCGAGGTGCATCCAAAACATTATGCCAGATGTCAAGTTTGTCCACATCTTCCCAAGGCAAGAGCGTCTACTTAGAAACTAGGCTTTGATATCGGCTAGTGGACACGCTTGCCTCGGAAGATGGGTTATCTACTCCACAATAGCTTGGCAACTATTCCTTCCTACCAACAGATCGCCTAGTACATGGCACATGAGTTCTTCTAGTGTAGTTTTGGAGTCGGGCATTCCCATTGTTCACCTGGCATTAAGTCCTACACCTAGAAGGGTGTAGCCACTCCACAGTACTTAAGGGAGTCTTGGGAAACTGGAATTTGGTGAAATGCGAGGGTCAAGTCTGTGGTGATTCCACGAGACAATCAGTCGCAATGTGGAATCAACGTCAGGCATGAGGGAGGGTTGAGGTTTGCTGTAACGAGATCGGCAAATGCTGCGACTTGACGACAACGGTCAGGATCCATATTGACTACTGCTTCACAAGGATTTGGTTGGTTGGTTGGTTTGTTGTTTAATGCCGCACTCTGCAATATTCCAGCTATATGACGGCGGTCTGTAAATAATTGAGTCTGGACCAGACAATCCAGTGATTGACATCATGAGCATCGATCCACGCAATTGGGATCGATGACATGCATCCACCAAGTCAGCAAGCCTGACCACCAGATCCCATTAGTTGCCTTTTACAGCAAACATGGGTTGCTGAATACCTATTCTACCCAGGTCTTCACGGGTCGCTTCACAAGGACATGAAGCACCATTGTATCCCTGAACTTACGGTAAATAACAACATAATACTGTCTTTGCGATAATATCAGAACTAGATGTCTGACTGTCACTTGGGAGTGGTTTATTCGTGTTTCTGCAGGGTTTGACAGAGAGGTAGAGTCGATTGGCACAAACTCCTCTGTCAAAGTAACGTCAATGTACTCCCCTGGCCAACTTGTAGCATCCATATATATAGATAAGTAGGTATGAGTGAGTGAGTGAGTATTTTTTTATACTGCTTTTAACTATATTCCAGCAATATCACGGCGGGTTACACCAGAAATGGGCTTCACACATTGTACTCATTTCGGGGATCGAACCCGGGTCTTCGGCGTGATGAGTGAACACTTTAAAAACTAGGCTACCCGACGGCCCTAGTAAGTATGAGAGTGTGCATGAGCAATGAGTCGTATCCTGGGGTATCGTCCTAATGTTGGTGGAAAGCAGTGATGCAGCTTGCAGATGTTTACCTCAGTGTGGTGTCCTATGGTAATGGCGCTGACAACAAGAATTAGGCTGAATCTGGGATTCAGTTATGGGATCCTGGACACCAAGGGCCCACAACTCTGCACGGCGAATTTCAAGTCTTTGCTGCCTGGGCCACCCATGTCCCCTATATTGTGTAAGACTTATTCCATCCATTGTACATGCACTGAATAAAAAAAGCCAGCCTGAAGGTATAATTAGCAAAGCTTTATTAGCTTACATCATAATTACACAGAGGCACCTGCTGACAACATACACATGAATATTTATACCATATACCCTAACTCACAGACACACATCTACATCACACAACACATTTCTCACCACTGAATCAGTACTGTAGGTTCTTCAAATATATAAACATTTTCATGAAACACTACTGGAAAAACATGATACTGAGAGAAAGATAAAATAATAACAGCAAAACTGTGGTAGGTAATTGAAAATTTTAAGTGCACATTTTGAAATCTTAACTACCAGTAATATGAATACAAAACAAATTTCATAAAAAAATTAAATATTCCTTCCTTATGATAAATTCACTCTGGCATTCTTCATCACACTTGTCAAGTATTTACTTAATATTTATCTACTCTGCTGACTGAAAGATCATGTCACTGATCAAGAAAGAAAACAAGCCTCTCTCTTGATGTAAGGGAGGTAACTCTTCCAGTCTTATACCCATGGTGGGCCAGTTAAATTGTAAGATCCTAACAGCATTTTTGTCATTCCCTACTTTTGATTTATGAGGTCTACTTGACAACACAGTGATCTGCACAAAACAATTTACATACAGCTCTACATATCTAAAGTTTCTTAATTCTGTTCGAGTCGCACCAGATTCACTCTACCCCCTTAATCAAGAAGCTGATACAAACACAACTACGTATACATTACATTGATATTCTTCAAGTAAAACATTTTTACAATGCTGAAAAGACTGATACAAAAAATATTTTGTTTCTTAGTATAGAGACAATCTGTAAGAATTCACAGTCTCAATATCAAACAATTCTAATATTTTCTGTAAAAAAATATTTTCAGCAATAAGTACAATATTTAATCAAGATACACTATTTCACTGAATATTTCATTCTAACAAATAGACAGTGGTATAACTTGTGAAGATACATAAAATATATAGTTTACAAAGTGTACATGTATGTATTTCTTGTAACATGCAATATTTGATGATTTAGCACCTTTCGAATTATACTTGAGAACTGAGAGTCACTGAACATTTTAAGTACAAGATCCTGTAGACAGTGTATAAACTCTTTCCCTTCTGTATTAAGTAAGGCCAAAGCTATCATTAATGACCAATGTAGAAAATAATACACTGGCACTTTGGTAAGCAAAAATGGAAGCAGTCCCATTGCTTCCTTTTCCTGAATTCCTCAAAACTTTGTTCTTCAAATTGACTTTATGTAGTAACTCAAACACATATGACCCTCCCTGAATATGTATAAAATATCAGCACTCAAGCCATTTGAAAATCGGCCAAACAGGTCTGATGGGTTCAGTTCAATTCAGGGCCCCACTCCACAAAGTGATCGTAACTCTCATATGTTAACATAGACTTGTCAAACGGGGCCTAGATTGATTAGTAATCATAGCAGATTCATCGAAATCATTCAACCCATTCTGTGTGTAAGTTCAAAGTTAGAAAGTATATCCATCTCGTAATGACTGATTGCCCTAATGATGCACCAATTACAACATCTAGACTTCATCTGGGGGACTAGACCATGGAAATGGGTCTGCAGTCGATATTTAACACTTGATTCAAATCAATGTTCATTTGCACCTCAACCGTCATTGTGAGAAAGTACATTAGGTAAAGCAATCCTATTCTTCCTGACCAGTTTCGTTCCGTAAACATTCCCAAGTTTTTGCTTAATGACTTTAGAACCTCCGGTGTGTATGCGAGAGTGACTGGGTTGATCGACATTGTAACCGGCGAGAACCACGTGCGCTCGACCCTGAAATCAATCCATGAACCTGAACCAGACTGATGGATGTTTCTAGCTGCATGTATCCATGTTTCATCAGGAGTTAATAAACGTTTACAAGATGACAGATTTTATTTGAATTACCACTGGAGGCTCCATCCTCTGCAACCGTCATTAGGATATTTTAAAGTCTTATTGACAAAAAGCATTGACCTTGATCTTCTGAAGCCAGATTCGTGAGTGACAGTTAACATTGACAATAAAATTGATATTGAAGGTATTTCCAAAAATAAAATGAAAAGATTAAGTTATCAAGTTGTAATTTCATGGTTTATCAAAGTATGATAAATAAACTAAAAAAACAAATAACAGCTAATTTAAATCGTTGAATTGTAATGGAGTACATGCATTTCCAACATGTGTAGTGAGATCCATGAAACACAGATGCAAGGGCCACCGACTGATTCGGCCATACACATCAAGCGGTTCCTGTTTCACAGGGGGCTTAATTATTTGAAAAATGGCTTTCACTCTGTTATGTTTTGTCCCTGGACACCTAACCCTAAACAAATTTATTTCTTTTAAACTGACATTGTTCAAAGACACTTTTTATAACTTCCACCATTCATGACATGATTAAAAATGTTTGGCTTAGAAACATCTAAAACATCGGCAGAAGAACTAACTGCAAATGTCAAGCTGGCTTCAGTGTTCAGGAAGTCCCAATAAGCTTAAGTTGACATGATATTTTGAAACATTGTCAGAGGGCATCATTGTTTGTGTAGAACTTTCTTCATGAGATAAGGAACCTATTGTCAACAGATGTAAGAGCAAGTTTCTAACATGGGCAGAGACTTTCAGAAACTACTTGGAATGGTTAAGGTACTCTTTTACTACTCTGCCATTTTGATTAATTGCCATTTATTGGAAACAATCTCAGAAAAAACCCATCCATCATCTGCTAAAATGACAAGGCTCAATATACAATAAGCTTCATCCAACATCATTTGATACCCCGGCCATAAGAATTCAAATTAATTTGATTGAATGCTTTAATGAGGAAACACGCTGGAGCATGTAAAGGCTATACCACAATGATGATTGTCGTCAATAAGTCAAGAAGAGAAAAGGATTTCATGTTTCTTCATGCCCATGTTTTTCCGATGTGTAAATATATCTTGTACAGCAAACACAGAAGGAAAACATAACTAACTGCCTAGTGACGCAACAACATGTATGCACAACAGCTGGAGTCAGCAATGACGTCCTACTGTATCTCCCTGCTACTGCTATTAATATGCATTGTATGGTTTACGAAAAAACAACATAAACCCGATAAAAAGTGAGAATTGTTTTGAATATTTCAAATTCTGTCAATCCTGTAGTCCTGTCGTCAACAAGTGGCTGCATATACTTCTCAAAAGAAGTTAAAGAACACCAGGTTTGTTCATGTTGCTATAGTTAATCTTTCATGGCCTGACAGAGTAACTTTAGTCATATGAAAGAATCGGGTGTTCTTTAACTTCTTTTGAGTAGTATAATGAAGTCATCAACACACCAATACATGAAGTAGTATTGTTGAAAACCATTTGTCTCACAAGAAAGAGAACTGTCTGCGATGGTGAACACAGAAGCATTATGATCATTAAAAGCAAAATACTTCTTTAAAACACAAATATTTGAATATTAAGTTAATTAAAGCGAATAAAAATTCAAATTTCAAAGCAAAGAGATGAGACTCCTTCATGGCACACATTGGTTTGCTGAAGGAATAGTCCTCCTTTTCATTGCTGTATTATAGGAACAATAGACGTCATTGTTAATAATTCTAAGAATACTACCTCTATTACATCATTGCCATAATTCCTGTATTTTGGCTGCTATCACTATTGTCACGACAACTAGTTGTGTGTAGATGACAGTGAATAAAAACTTCTGTTAAAACTTCTGAAGACTAGTTTTGTGTGTTTGCAGCCTCAATACAGGACTTATGGCAGTGATGTAATTGAGGTAGAGGATTTGGAGGAATTCTGTTTTTTGCCTCATTACACTACAAACTGGACCGTTGTGAAGAGATCTTGGCTTGTAGATTGAATGATAAGGCACTAACTACCCGTATCAGTGAAAACATATTTCAAACATCTATAGTTACAGTTTTAACAGAGATACATACTTCATCTGCTACAGAATAATAAAGAAATACCAGGCTGGAATAAGAACCATCATGTTTCAATCTTATCAAAATCAGAACTTTGAAAGACCTGATCTTGATGAGTCTGTTTCGTTTTTGTGCAAATACAAACACTAAGGGACATAACTCTCAGTGTGGCTTCAGACAGCAGGTCAGTTTCAGGCGTTGTGTTTCAGTATGGACAGCACACTGCTGGCACTGATCACATGGTTATGCAAAAAGACATTCAATGTGATAAAACATGGACTTTGAACACTGATGAATGCCGCAACATATAGTCAAGACAGCATATTTGTGATGGAACTTCCAGTCCCATACGTTTCTGCTATAAAATATCCGACCTTAAAGCTGGAGGATCGTGTGTATCATGCTGACTTGTATGACCATCCCTCAGACCACATGACTTTCTTGGAGGTACGTCTTTGTCTTGTTCACTGAGGAAACTGTCCAGTGTACATCGTTTACTCAGAGTATCATTTTTCACACCTGAATTCCAAACACTACTCAATACAAATCTAGAAGGGAATGGAGAAAGGGTGCGATTTGAAGATAAATTAGTCAAACAATATTGAAATAATAAAATATATAGAGGATATTTTTTACATACGCCATTATTTAAAAAAAAGAAATGCGTACCAAATACAATTTCGTTTGTGCCTCTGTGTACCTCAATGCTGAGACCCGAATACCCTCTTATTAGACGCCGAATCCAAGAGAGGGTTGGCAGCCTCACAATTCACTTTACTGGAGTGAATGTGGTCTCACACTGCTTTGAACAGTATTCCTGTTTAATAATGTGGGAGGAAAGCAGGTCTTCAGACTTTTACCACTCATGAAACCCATGAGCAAAAGTATGATGCAGACAAATCAAGAATTACAATCAGGGGAAATCTGGGATTCAAACCCACAATTGTAGGATTTACACAAGCCTATGGGATGTAACTCTGCATAGCAAATTGCATCACCTTGCAGACTTGGCCACCCCTACACCCAGACTTTGTTATGAACTCAGCTCCAACTGGAAGGTTTACATCAAAGAAACTGAATGATGACAAATCATAAACAGATGACATTGCCCTTGGAGAAGTCTCTGAATCATGAAGTGTTGAGTCTGCTTCTTTACTCTCAAAGGCTGGGCTGATGAGGTCCAGGTCAGGCTGTAATGAAATGATAAAATTAAAATGAAATATTCTTGATTAATCTGCAGATTTATGTACTTATTCCTTCTGAATTCTTAAACATATATTACCTCAGGCAAATACATTTGATAGTCTGCTCTGACATGCAATATGCCCTGAATATACCTATCACAAGTACAAATTCTGGTGTCAAACGCTGTACACCTACCTAATATTGTACTTGTGATAGGTATATTCAGGGCATATTGCATGTCAGAGCAGACTATCAAATGTATTTGCCTGAGGTAATATATGTTTAAGAATTCAGAAGGAATAAGTACATAAATCTGCAGATTAATCAAGAATATTAGGTGTACAGCGTTTGACACCAGAATTTGTCAGTTGTCCAGTTTTAAAGGATGAGCAGAGAGAAACTGTTCCTGTAGTGTCTCTAGTGGTTCTGACCTGTAGGTGTCCTTCATCATTAATAAAGAAGTAAAACAAGATACATGAAGGGTTGTTTAATTTGCGGACAGTCCTTTGATTTTATGCAAGTATCTGTTTTCAATAAGGAAAACAATTAACAGTGCCCACAAAATATCACTAGACCTCTGGATCACCACTCTGTTCATTCAACTGGCCCCTGAGTTATCTTCAAACACTGTTCTACCTGTGTTATGATAACTAGTTGATAACTATGATTGGGCAAGAAGTATTGAATGCTGTTCATCCATTGGCTGAGCCATGTTTTAGCAACAGTGTGTTTATTGTACAGGGTACTTGCCGAAGTAATAATAGGGGCAACAACCAAGAGAACATTTCAATAATCAACATATAACATTTACATCACACGACCATTCATACTCCACATTTACATCACAAGATCATTCATACTCCACATTTACATCACACGACCATTCATACTCCACATTTACATCACAAGATCATTCATACTCCACATTTACATCACACAACAATTCATACTCCACATTTGCATCACAAGATCATTCATACTCCATATTTACGACACACGACCATTCATACTCCACATTTACATCACACAACAATTCATACTCCACATTTGCATCACAAGATCATTCATACTCCATATTTACATCACACGACAATTCATGCCCCACATTTACATCACAAGACCATTCATGCCCCACATTTACATCACAAGATCATTCATACTCCATATTTACATCACAAGATCATTCATACTCCATATTTACATCACACGACCATTCATACTCCACATTTACATCACAAGATCATTCATACTCCATATTTACATCACACGACCATTCATACTCCACATTTACATCACAAGATCATTCATACTCCATATTTACATCACACGACAATTCATGCCCCACATTTACATCACAAGATCATTCATACTCCACATTTACATCACACGACAATTCATACTCCACATTTACATCACAAGATCATTCATACTCCACATTTACATCACAAGATCATTCATACTCCACATTTACATCACAAGACAATTCATACTCCACATTTACATCACAAGATCATTCATACTCCACATTTACATCACACGACCATTCATACTCCACATTTACATCACAAGATCATTCATACTCCACATTTACATCACACAACAATTCATACTCCACATTTGCATCACAAGATCATTCATACTCCATATTTACGACACACGACCATTCATACTCCACATTTACATCACACAACAATTCATACTCCACATTTGCATCACAAGATCATTCATACTCCATATTTACATCACACGACAATTCATGCCCCACATTTACATCACAAGACCATTCATGCCCCACATTTACATCACAAGATCATTCATACTCCATATTTACATCACACGACCATTCATACTCCACATTTACATCACAAGATCATTCATACTCCATATTTACATCACACGACCATTCATACTCCACATTTACATCACAAGATCATTCATACTCCATATTTACATCACACGACAATTCATGCCCCACATTTACATCACAAGATCATTCATACTCCACATTTACATCACAAGATAATTCATGCCCAACATTTACATCACAAGACCATTCATGCCCCACATTTACATCACAAGATAATTCATGCCCAACATTTACATCACAAGACAATTCATGCCCCACATTTACATCACAAGACCATTCATGCCCCACATTTACATCACAAGATAATTCATGCCCAACATTTACATCACACGACCATACATACTCCACATTTACATCACAAGATCATTCATACTCCACATTTACATCACAAGATCATTCATACTCCACATTTACATCACACGACAATTCATACTCCACATTTACATCACAAGATAATTCATGCCCCACATTTACATCACAAGATCATTCATACTCCACATTTACATCACACGACAATTCATACTCCACATTTACATCACAAGATCATTCATACTCCACATTTACATCACAAGACAGTTCATGCCCCACATTTACATCACAAGATCATTCATACTCCACATTTACATCACAAGATCATTCATACTCCACATTTACATCACAAGATCATTCATACTCCACATTTACATCACAAGACAATTCATGCTCCACATTTACATCACAAGACAATTCATGCCCAACATTTACATCACAAGGCCATTCATGCCCCACATTTACATCACAAGATAATTCATGCCCAACATTTACATCACAAGACCATTCATGCCCCACATTTACATCACAAGATAATTCATGCCCAACATTTACATCACAAGACAATTCATGCCCCACATTTACATCACAAGACCATTCATGCCCCACATTTACATCACAAGATAATTCATGCCCAACATTTACATCACACGACCATACATACTCCACATTTACATCACAAGATCATTCATACTCCACATTTACATCACAAGATCATTCATACTCCACATTTACATCACACGACAATTCATACTCCACATTTACATCACAAGACAATTCATACTCCACATTTATATCACAAGATCATTCATACTCCACATTTACATCACAAGATAATTCATACTCCACATTTACATCACAAGATCATTCATGCCCCACATTTACATCACAAGACAATTCATACTCCACATTTACATCACAAGATCATTCATACTCCACATTTACATCACAAGATAATTCATACTCCACATTTACATCACACGACCATTCATACTCCACATTTACATCACAAGATAATTCATACTCCACATATACATCACAAGATAATTCATGCCCCACATTTACATCACAAGACAATTCATACTCCACATTTATATCACAAGATCATTCATACTCCACATTTACATCACAAGATAATTCATGCCCCACATTTACATCACAAGATAATTCATACTCCACATTTACATCACAAGACAATTCATGCTCCACATTTACATCACAAGACAATTTATACTCCACATTTACATCACAAGACAATTCATACTCCACATTTACATCACAAGACAATTCATACTCCACATTTACATCACAAGACAATTCATGCTCCACATTTACATCACAAGACAATTCATGCTCCTCATTTACATCAAAAGACCTTGCAAAAATTACCGTATCTAGTGTGGACATCCTACGGCTTCATGGATCCATTAATACAGCTGTATATATACACATGGCCCTGGCTTCCAGGCAGATCCTCCTTTTGTCAGCACCACAAGTTGGCCATCAAGGACACATGGAGGAAACACAGCACATCACGTCCCACTCACAAACTAGCTGTCTTATACTGAGATGTCCCAGCCATGAACATTAGCCTGGAGAGGATAATTATATGTGAAACAGGGTGAAACCTAAAAACAGTCAGCCTTGATTAAGTTGACTTTATTATTTTCTGGCCAAATTGTAAACTCACATATAGTTTTGAATTTACAAACAATAGAAATTCATTGTAAGTAAAATTTCAAGATAGACAGATGAAGTAGCCTTCCGCTGAAGGCTTTTTTGCTTCACAATGACTACATGGACTATTCCATTCACAAGCAGGGAGTATAGATTCTGCCAAGATGGACAGTTCCATTCACAGACGTATGATTGTTTCATGCTCAGAAACAGCAATGTGGCGTGTTACGTTCACAGAAACAGCAGACTCTTCCAACGTAGTGTGTTCTATGCACTGAAACAGTAGGCTCTTCAATGTCCCGTGTTCCATTTTAAAAAACAACAGACACTTCAATGTTCCCTTCACAGAAACAACAGACTCTTCAATGTTCCATTCACAGAAACAACAGACTCTTCAATGTTCCCTTCACAGAAACAACAGACTCTTCAGTGTCATGTGTTCCATTCAGAGTTGCTTCAATGCTGACGGTTCCATTCCAAGAAGGGGTATGTGGTTTATAGATCATAACAAGTTTCAGACAAAGTATTTCTGGCATAATAGGAAGGTTCTATTACTGAAATATAGTATTTTCTTCATAATGGAATCTTCCAGTATGAGGCACATCCCATCTTCGCTAATACAGGGACACAAATGTACAAATAAATGCTTATGTATCAGAGTTTAAATACAAAATACAAACATATTTTTCATTCATATTTTCATTTGTATATAGTCTAGCATCAACCTCTTTATAAGTAGTTGCTAGTTGATTTGTCGTTCAGTGTAAAAGTAACTGTTGCTAATTGATACGTCTTCCATTTCCCGCTAAAAACCTGGAGCTGTCTCACAGCACAGTCACGTGTTGCCATGGTAACATACTCCTAACTCATGACTGAGATGTATGGTCATCCACTCATCCACAAAGACGATATTCACTTCTTGTGAACTGCATCAAATTATTCCATTTTATGGCAGTTTCAGTTGGACCAGATTTTATAAATCTAGCAACTGGACAATATTCAGGAGAAGAAATAATTATCACAAACTTCTTCTGCTGTATCATTTTGTACACCTGACAGTTTAGTCCCAGAGAACAGGTACTGGACATGGTCTGATGTTCCTCTGACTAGTGGTGTTTCCCAGACACGTAGTCATGACACGACTTGCAACACATCTGTTTGTAGAAAGGGTATTTGCATAGTCGTGACTGCTTCACGTAGAGACATCGGATTGTGTCGTGGTCTTGGCAGTCACCAGCTGAAAGTAACAAAATAGGAAATGATGCTTTCATGTAATCAGCTGTCTTGATATTGAAAGAACATTCAATGTGTTATTATCATAAAGCAGCCATAAAACATAAACTGACTGGATAAAGAGGGCGATTGTCATCTGTGGGAGTACATAGCTACAGACCCATGAAAATCTGGGGTAGAATAGGCCTCCAGCAACCCATTCTTTATGTAATAGGCGACTATGCTTGTCGTAAGAGGCAATTAACGGGATTGGGTGGTCAGGCTCGCTGACTTGGTTGATGCATGTCATCGTATTCCAATTGCATGGATTGATGCTCATGATGTCAATCACTGGATTGTCTGGTTCAGACTCGATTATTTACAGACCACAATCATATAGCTGGAATACTGCTGAGTGCGGCGTTAAACAACAAATAAACAAACAAACAACAAAGCTTCTACATGATCTCTGTGGGACTACTTAGCTACATGTCCTCAAACAGAGTCTTTTGTAGCTATTGTGAATCAAGTGTGAGCTTGTATGACAGCAATATCCATCACAGGACATAAGAATGGGGTACGCAGGTCATGACAAGCAAATCATTTTACTTCTGGGGTGCACTGTTTCTAGATAGTGTGTAGTAGCAGGAGCAGCAGCAGCAGTACTTGGATTAAGTGTGAACTAGACCAAAAGGAGACCTATCTGCATCCATAGTGCTTGTATGAGTTACTTCCCCTGATTCTCCAGAATCAGGAGGTACACAAATAAGCCAGAGTCACAGAAGTATGTCCTATGCAGTGTGAGGGTCAATCCACTTTAATGCAGGGGTGTGTAAACACTACATACGCCCATCAAGACTGGAATCATGTAATGTGTGACCAGGCTGGTTGTGCTCATGCTATCAACCACTTGTTTTTCTATCCCAGACTTGATTACACATAGGCTTCTGGATGTTATATTGAGTCTAAAAAAACCCAGTTCACTCAATCACACCTATTCCAATTCCAAACAATCAAAACTCTATTTTCACATCCCACTTTTCCCCTACAGAGATTCAGATTCCAGCAATATCACATCAGGGGACACTAAAAATGGGCTTCACACATTGTACCCATAAGTGGAACCAAACCCTGGCCTGGTGTGACAAGCGAATGCTTCAACCACAAGGCTACCCCACCTCCCCGTACAGAATGAACATGTGTCAATGTGTCAGCCCCTCACCGCCTCCTGCATCCTTCTGAATGTGTATGTTGGCCGAGGTGATGGCCGAGGGTTTCTGAGCTCTACAGGAGTGCTTGTTGCAGGCTTGTCTCTCGTTGGGTCGTAGGGACCCCGGACACTCTGGGCTGGACTGGAGGTTGTCGTCCAGGCACTTGACCTCTCGGGTCTTCACCCCGGTACCACAGCTGGCTGAACACTGTAACACAGGGACGATAAGAGTTAACACTGTAACACAGGGACGATTAGAGTTAACACTGTAACACAGGGACGATTAGAGTTAACACTGTAACACAGGGATGATTGTAGTTAACATTGTAACACAGGGACGATTAGAGTTAACACTGTAACACAGGGATGATTAGAGTTAACACTGTAACACAGGGACGATTAGAGTTAACAGTGTAACACAGGGACGATTAGAGTTAACATTTTCACACACGGACGATTAGAGTTAACACTGTAACACAGGGACGATTAGAGTTAACACTGTAACACAGGGACGATTAGAGTTAACATTTTAACACAGGGACGATTAGAGTTAACACCGTAACACAGGGACGATTAGAGTTAACACTGTAACACAGGGACGATTAGAGTTAACACTGTAACACAGGGACGATTAGAGTTAACACTGTAACACAGGGATGATTAGAGTTAACATTGTAACACAGGGACGATTAGAGTTAACACTGTAACACAGGGACGATTGTAGTTAACATTGTAATACAGGGACAATTAGAGTTAACACTGTAACACAGAGATGATTAGAGTTAACATTGTAACACAGGGACGATTTTAGTTGACATTGTAACACAGATATGATTAGAGTAAACATTGTAATACAGGGACGATAAGGTTTAACGTTGTAATACAGGGACGATTAGGGTTAACGTTGTAATACAGGGGCGATTAGGGTAAACATTGTAATACAGGGACGATTAGGGTTAACATTGTAATACAGGGACGATTAGGGTTAACATTGTAATACAGGGACGATTAGGGTTAACATTGTAATACAGGGACGATTAGGGTTAACATTGTAATACAGGGACGATTAGAGTTAACGTTGTAATACAGGGACGATTAGGGTTAACATTGTAATACAGGGACAATTAGGGTTAACATTGTAATACAGGGACGATTAGAGTTAATATTGTGCCACAGGGACGATTAGAGTTTAACATTGTAATACAGGGACGATTAGGTTTAACACTGTAATACAGGGACGATTAGGGTTAACATTGTAATACAGGGAAGATTAGGGTTAACATTGTAATACAGGGATGATTAGAGTTAATATTGTGCCACAGGGACGATTAGAGTTTAACATTGTAATACAGGGACGATTAGGTTTAACACTGTAATACAGGGATGATTAGGGTTAACATTGTAATACAGGGATGATTAGGGTTAACATTGTAATACAGGGATGATTAGAGTTAATATTGAAACACAGGGACGATTAGAGTTTAACATTGAAATAGAGGGACGATTAGGGTTAACACTGTGATACAGGGACGATTAGGGTTAACATTGTAATACAGGGATGATTAGGGTTAACATTGTAATACAGGGATGATAAGAACACTGTAATACAGGGACTATTAGAGTTAACGTTGGTACACAGGGATGATTAGAGTTAACATTGTGTCACAGGGATGATTAGGGTTAACACTGTAATACAGGGACGATTAGGGTTAACATTGTAATACAGGGACTATTAGGGGTTAATCGTCCAGATACACGGATATGGTGTGAAGGGGTCCATATTTCTTGCAACAACTAATACTTACATTGTTCTTATATTCTATGATGCCATGTACCCTATTGCTGACATGTCTTACCTGTCCCCATGGCGTCATGTACCACTCTGGTTGGCATGGCGATAATTCCTGGCAGGCCTGTTCACTGACTGGTCGTTGTTCAGCCACACAGTTGACTTCTGACACAATAGTGTGCAGCTTGGTGCCTAGTTTCTTCATGCACACCACGTCCCTCTTCTTGAATGCATTCCCACAGGTCGCGTTACACTGCAACAGAGAATTCTCAGTCATTATCCCTGACCAATCCACATTACACCTGATTGCTTCCCTCAGTACTTATGGTGAGCATATTTCATACATACTGATAGTCCAAATGTCATGAATCATTCAGTTATTATCCTCCACCACGAAGTGGAAGGAGGATATAGTAATGGGTGCTTCTGTCTTTCCCTCCTTCTGTCTGTTTGTCTGTTCGTCATGCTTTGTTTCCGGAGCAGAACGCAAAAACCATGAGAAATATCTTAACCAAACTTGGCACATAGGTTGGTCTAATGGTGAACTGGTGCATTGTTAGAGTTTGGGATTTTTAAAAATTTATTTTCGAGTTTACATAACAACGACTTTGTAAAATGGCAGTAGTGCTTGTTTCCGAGGACTAATACCTTGCACACAACCGAGCAAGTCATATTGGCGGAGGATATGAGTTTTTCATATTTGTTTAATTATTGATACTTTAGTAAGTTGTGATATTATCTTGTCATTCCACATGATCACATGACATGGAGCTAATTGGTTAAGTAACTATAACTAGTAAAGATTTAGACCCCTGAAGATCCGAGGTAGAATAGGTCTTCAGCAACCCATGCTTGCCGTAAAAGGCGACTATGCTTGTCGTAAAAAGCGACTAACGGGATCGGGTGGTCAGGTGTCATCAGTCCCAATTGCGTGGATCCATGCTCATGATGTCAATCACTGGATTGTCTGGTCCAGACATGATTAATTACAGACCACCGTCATATAGCTGGAATATTGCTGAGTGTGGCGTAAAACAACAAACCAACCAACCAACCAAGTAATGATTTAACATTTATGTAATATACTAAATGGGAATGATACACATGTATCTTGCATGTATTTCTGCATGAGAAGTTAAACCTGTTAAACTAATGTCTGTGGTAGGTTTGCCTGGCATGCATTTGGTCCAGGTGAGCTAACAGGTTATCCTAGATTATAATATGACAGCGTTTCAAGAGCTTTTCAAGAGCTTTTCATTTACGTCTCCATTTTCTCCTTATTAATGAGACAGCAAACACTGCCTGACAATTGCCCCCTCCTTTAACGGTGAGGAAGTCAGCATCCCAACATGGAAACACGTTTCCATCACAAGGACTCCGACAAATGTGCACTAAGACATATTATATCATTGCCCTCCTTAAAACATTTTTCAAATTCCATAACACTTCACATGACAGGTAACTATTTACTTAAAAAGTTGCATGAAACGAGAAGATTTAGTACACAGACACAGCTTAAACACAGCCTGCACGAGTTCTGTGCAACACAAATATTTAAACAACTTTTGATTACAGTTATTTCATAAGGAATCTGGAACGACTTCACACACGCTGCTTAAACAGACTTGAATCTTCTAATTTGCGTCAACGCAGCTATTTCTAAGTCTTTGTAGCTTTCAACTTTCATTCCAGATGGTGCTCATTCAGGTGTGAAGGCTAGGAGATTGCAGAATGTTTTATGAGTAGATGACATAACACCTGCAATTACGCGGGTGGTAATTGCTGTAACCTGTTCATGTGTATTGCTTGGATGCGATGCTGTCTTCATCATACTCATGGCATTATTACACATTTGTAAAGGAGACCCGGAGTTCGTAAAAGACCATGTGTTTATTCTGTGGTGTTGTCTGGTAATGACTGAACGGGTTTCGTATACAGCTCGGGATGTCAGCGAACTTCAGATGAAATATGTTGCTTTTTTATGTGGAATGTGTTCTGGCAACGAATCACAATGAAGCACAATACACTTTGCATGGTTAACATTCAAAACATAGCACAAACAAAAAACACAACAGTAAGGTTGTGTTAACTGTTTATCACAAAACAATTAACAGTATTCACATCCGTTCAATGCATGTGTTTATCTTCTTGTTTAAATGTACAATAGACCTGTGAAGACCTGAGTAGAATAGGTCTTAAGGAACCGATTCTTGCCGTAAAAGCTACTATGCTTGTCGTAAGAGGCAACTAATGGGATCGGGTGACCAGACTCGCTGACTTGGTTGATGCATGTCATCGTATCCTAATTGCGTGGATCGATGCTCATGATGTCAATCACTGGATTGTCTGGTCCCGACATGATTATTTATAGACTGCCGTCATATAGCTGGAATATTGCTGAGTGTGGCATTTAACAACAAACAAACAAACAAACAAACAAACAAACATGTACAATGTAATAATAGTAGTGACGGGTATTGACCTAATTTTCATATTGCAAAATATTGCAATAATTCACATACTGTGATACGTACCACAATAAATTGCATGTGTTCTTTCATCTGTAATTTGTTATGAACCTGAATAAAAATACCCCAAGAGACTTGAAGTTTTTCTTTATTCTGTACTGAAAGTTCCCTGACAGAATCACCCGACTTAACACTAGAGTCAACACTTTCAACAGCCAACAGTAATGCACGAAGGAAGCTGGTCACAAATAGTTTCGCTCTTTCGATCACAGACCCTATCAGCTGTTAATTTCTGAATTTCATAATTTCAATTTAACTTGTCAGTTGTCACCTATGTTTAACATTGCCAACAAGATAGAAATTATCAGAAAATTTGCATGATTTTGAAAAGCGCAATATCCCTGTATTTTCAAAAAGTATTCATTGGTATTTAAAATCGTGGTATACCGCTAATATCGCGCACCTCTAAATAATAAGTGTAGGAAACAACAACAACAACAACAACAACAACAACAACGACAACAAGACAGTTCAAACCACACAGGTACATGACTGATATGGACCAACTAATGGGATTGGTGGTCAGGCATGCTGACTTGGTTGATTCATGTCATCATCGCATCAGTATTGTGTAGATGTTCATGGTGTCAGTCACTGGATTGTCTTGCTCACATTCAATTATTTACAGATTGATGTCATATGCCAGGAATATTGCTGAGTGTGGCGTTAACAACACAAAAACAAACAACTGACAGGACAATATTGCCCCAAACAAACGATCAGTAGGAATTCAAATTCTGTTCTCAGCTCCCTGGGGATCATACAAGCTGACCAGTCAGAATAAAGGTACTGACCTGTGTCCAGGGTCCAGCAAACCATCGCCCACCACAAGGTGGGTTGTCTTTACAGGCCTTCTTGGTGCGAGGCCTCTTTTCTGAGGAACATTTAGTCTCTGGCAGATAGCTTCCATCGTCTGCGGAACAGTAGGTCTTCCTCTTGTAATGTCCGGTGCCGCACTCGGTTGTACACTGGACAAACACAAGATGATCACTTATGTGAGGAGCTCTTTTCATGGTAACAAAATACAGCTGAACCTCTAGCTTGGGACCATCAAGCAAGCAATATCAGACTACAGTGCTTATAAATGATTCTGTAGGGGCCAGAGAGTTGCACCATCTCCAATATTACAGGAGTTAAAGAGGGAGAACTGTGTGTTTTTGTTAAATTAATATTGTTGTTCTTTTGTTGAATTAATATTGTTTTACTTTCGTTAATTAATATTGTCATACTCTGTTGAAATAATATTGTTGTACTTTTGTTAAATTAATACTGTTGAATGGTGTTGCTTCTTTCTCAGTGAAAATATTTGACTTGATCCTAAGACAAGACTTTTTTGTTGCCAGAAGATTTATCTGAAGTTTTCAGGGAACTGCATATCCTATGAACTGACATTTCCCCCTGACTACAAGCCTGTCCAGACACACTGCATCAAACAGGAATAACATGTCCATGACATGCTTGTTGGTCTCGGGCTGATTAATCAACCACAGTAATAACGCATGACATGTACACATGAAAGAAAGGTTTACATATTTACTTGTTGGTTTTCTGTCATATGAATTTATTTTAAACATTCATGTGTCAGATACATACATTTTCATTCCATCATAAAAACCACTTGTTTTCACAGTGAACACTTTGTACCGGAAACATACGTCACCTGGGTTTTTTTTACAAATCCCATGATAACATTACATTATAACTTATGATTTATGAAAGTGTACTGGATACAATGGCATATCATAAGTGTATGTTTGTGAGGTCCGCAGTCAACAACACATACAATCACAACAACAGGGGAAACCTACTCTACGACATCAACTGTACCAACAACTGTTTATGTATGAACTTAAAAATAAATCTAGCAGATTAGTAATATTTGTTTAGTTCGGGGCAAAAAAAATCAAATATCAGGATCTGTTTACAGTAAATGGGAATGTGTAATAAGCTGGGAACAAGTTGGTCATTGTACAGAATACTATCAGCTCTGTTCCTTGTGACACTGCATAAAACTCCAAGATTTATTGTTACAATAATTTAGCTTGCCTCATAACCTTATGACTCTCACACTCAAGAACACTGATCCCAACATTCCAATTTCAATGGCGGTTGTTCAAATATCATAATGCATGCAAAATCCTTGGCTGTGTAAAACAGGACAAGCCGCCTTACTGATAGATACATGATAGCACTGGGCATGAGCAGGCTTCAACCCCACTGAGCAAATGCCAAACTGTAATACGTCTTGGGAGGAAGGCCCTCAGCTTTCTACTTGAACTTGATGAATGAATATGGCTGGTATTATCATCATAGTAACACCTCATTAATGTGGACCAGTTAATATTCTGGGTGTGGGGTGGGGTAGGAGATGGAGTGTGGGGTTGTTCTGAAGGAAACAAATCCAGAAAAAGACTTTAATATCCCCTGCCTTGAAGTAGAAGGGGGAATAGGAATGGGTGCTGTCTGTCCATCCTTCCGTCTGTCACATTTCCTTTCTAGAGCAGAACTCAAAAACCATTAGATATATCTTAACCACACTTGGCACGTAGATAGGTCTAGTGGTAAACTGGTGCCTGACCGCCTGATCTCCTGTTTTGATAAGCAGAGGTTGCTGGGGACCTACAGACAGAGTGCAGACAGAGGAGAGACAGAGGACAGACAGAGTACAGACAGAAGATTATGGTTGGCACACAACAGGAGGATTGTGACAGGTGACACTGCTTGTTTCTGTCATAGATTGATGATTAAATAAATTAAATTCTAAGCATTTTTTCTTTTGTTGCATGTAAAATGTCCAACATTGTGATGTGGTAATGCACCGTCTATCAGACTAATACCTAAGTTCTCATCTGCTATGAGCAAAAATCTAATTTGAAAAGTTATGCTATATGACTGTGCCCATCATGAACACATTTGTTCACTATTTTTTCTACATACAACATACATAATGTTTGAGAATTAACATACAAGTGAAAATGAATCAACTTATCCCCATTCATTGCTGCAGTGTATTGGTATTTGTATGTACTTGATTGACCAAAGTTTGCACAAGAGACTAATGAAAATACCAAGCGCTGAAGCCATTCCAGAGCTCCAGATATGCTTTTGGTGTTGTGGGTATTTTACCCATGCAGTTTAAAATCATTGGGTATCAGTAATTCTACCTGCGTATTCAAATTTCTGTTACCCACTAGTTTTTACACATGTGGGTATTTAAGTTAAATATTTAAAAACACTATTCATCTAGTCCCTGCAAACTGGTGTCGTGTGGGTTTGAGAGCTTTATAGGACTCAAGAATACCACGATACTTCCACAAGAAAGTGTGATGGCAAATGATCATGATGTAAGTGTCATCGTGGAGTTTGGCAAGGTTGACGGAATGCCCGTTTATAATTTCAAAATAAGTTGCTGATTTGCTTATCAAATACGCAGGGCTACTTCACAATATTTTGATGATACGCACAAGTTTTATTTTTGTAGCGTATCTGTAATGTTCGTTGCGTATTTGATACGCTTGGATTTTATATTACTACGTATTTCTGCATTTCTGTGGGGGCATGGGTGGCCCAGTCGTCTAAGGTGCCGCGATTCGCTGTGCAGAGCTGCGTCCCTTAGGCACGCCAGAAACCTATGATTGTGGGTTCGAATCCCGGTTCGCCTCGATTATGTTTCTAGGTTTGTCAGCACCATACCCGTGCTCGTGGGTTTCACCGAAGTGGTAACCGTCTGAGACCTGCATCACTTCGGTCTTTCCTCCCACATTAAGCTGACACGCCGTGATATGACTGGAATACTGTTAAAAGCGGCGTTAAACCCAACTCACTCACTCACTTACTGCATTTCTGATGCGTATTTCACGCAGATACGCGGTTTATGTGGAGCTCTGCAATCTCTGATCAACTTCTCCTTGTCTTGTTTGTTACATCACCTTCATGACTACATAGAGATGGATTCTTATCGCAAACTATTCTCACAAATTTAAGTTTAGCACTATTTTTATTAACAGCATAACAATTAAGATAATTAGTACTGTATAATTAATATTCATGAAATGAACAATTCACAAATACACAGGCATTCCTTCTCCAAATAAACATTGATAAACAAACAATCAGAATGATTTTAATCTTACATTGTTTGTAAATTGCTTAATCATTCTAATTTGAATAAATACACATAATCTTATTACAGATATGATTTTAAACCAATGTTAAAGTGATACACCCGAGCCTAAGCCATTGGCAGGTTGCTAGGGGAGCTGATTGGGACCTATATTAACTCCTGCAGGGGCACAATCTTTCCACTTATCAGGTGTCAGGCTTTATAAATTACCTACTTTTGACATGGGCAGAATTAATTTAACTCTTCAACTCTCACCTATTGGCTGTTAGGCTATCTTATGTCAGCACAATACCTGATCTGTAGACCACAAACCTCAAAACCTGATGACGATGGCTCAGTTTGCTAGTCTTGATTTAAACCTATGTAAACAAAGTGTTTAATTTCTTCGCTAACCATCCCTTGTAGACCAGATAATAGGTGAGAAGAAACTACTGTGGAGATAGATAGATATATCATGTCCGACATTATTTCAAGGACAAACCGTTTCTTCACTCTTGAGTTGAAAGCTGTTTGTCCGGCCATTATGCTAGATAAGTGATGAGGACTGTGATGAATGATGATAGTTTGAAATAACCAAGGAATGTGTGTCCTTGGACAATTCCTCAAAGTACAATAACTGTCTCTGGTCACATGGAGAGGTAATAGGGCACATTATAGAACCCCCATATATAGATCTACTTCTTTTACAAGATCATTAATATTTTAAGTAAATTATGACATCGTAAATAAGACTAACACAATCTCGTACTTTACCAGCAGAGTAGGTCATAGTCACTTGGACACAAAGTCTCTAAACTTTTGACAAATTGAACTTATTACCATAAACATCTGAATTTTCAGAATTGAAAATGTTCAGCAGATATGGTATCTGAAAATTTGGACGGTCATCCAATCAATTATAAGCCATGTTAGTGATGTAGAGATGGGGTGTGCCATGGTTCAGGACTTGTTTGTAAGCCATCTTGGATCTCACCTGGGCAGACCACTTGGTGTGGTACCATCCTCGAGCACACGACCCCATGTCACAGATCTCCGTGCTGTCCGGCCTGGGGTGTCCGCACTGCCGGTCAGCTGCCGGGCTCCCCTCCACGGACATGCAGGTCACGGTCCTCTTCCTCTCCCCGTGACCACACTCGGTAGAACACTAGGAAGAACAAAAACACAATAGCAAGTTGTACTAAATTATAATATGATGAGGAATCCAAAACAAACAGTAACAGTGTACTCCTTTGTACAACAGATGCCATACTGAGCAGTCAGTCAATATCACTATTGTTCTATTCAACAGAATGGTAACAAATATGAAATGTGTGGGATCAGAATTGGGCATGTTATCTTTTCATAGCAATTTGGAGTGAGTGAGTGAGTTGGGTTTAATGACGCTTTTAACAGTATTCCAGTTACATCACGGCATGTCAGCTTAATGCGGGAGGAAAGCCCGAAGTGATGCAGGTCTCAGACGTTTACCACTTCGGTGAAACCCACAAGCATGGGTATGGTGCTGACAAACCTAGAAACATAATCGGGGCGAACCGGGATTCAAACCCACAATCATAAGTTTCTGGTGTGCCCAGGGGATGCAACTCTGCACAGCGAATCTCGGCGCCTTAGACGACTGGGAAACCCGTGCCCCCTCATAGCAATTGACTGTCAATGTAAGTCTACTCTTGAAGATCCGGGCTAGAATTGGTCTACAGCAACCCGTGCTTGCCGTTAGAGGCGACTAATGAGATCACTGACTTTGTTGATGCATGTCATTGTATCCCAATTGCATGGATCAATGCTCATGATATCAATCACTGGATTGTCTGGTCCAGACTTAGTTATTTACAGACCACCATCAAATAGCTGAAATATTGCTGAGTGCGGGCGTTAAACAACAAACAAAAAACAAACAATGATAGTCTGAGCATTCAAAATGGTAGCCTGCTTGTATTCCTGTGTTCAGCTGTATTGTGGCAAGTAGTCGTTCAAGTCGCTGCAAGGTACCACAGAATCACTGCCTCATTCAGATACACCAAGAGACAATGGTGTATCTTCATGTAGCAAAGACCTTTGACAGTCATGTCGTAGCATGATTGTTTGCTCTACTGAGGTATAGAGTCAAGAACAACACTGATTAAAGCAAAACAATCTGTGATACAAGCATTAAAATAGCAAGTCATTGTGCAAGCCATCATTGTGGAATGAGGAGAAAAAAATCACCAAATGAACTTTGTTCTACAATTTCCATATGGCAACAGTCAATATTTGATCAAAAGCATGAAAAGATAGATGAAAGGGGGAAGCTTTTATCTTGGGAACATAAAATGAAGTTTAATTGAGAGTGTAAAATTTCACACGTTTTGAGTGACAAACATGTATGTTTGACATGACATGACGGGATCAGACAACCCTCCACACTGGTTAATGTTTGCTGGCTTACATGTTTCAACAGAACAGGGAAAGCCGATGAAAATTATACTGATGGTGTTTTTTCTCACTGAATAGACGCACATATCCACTTCATCACATTTACATAATTTAAAACTTATAAAAACTAGAAATGAAATGTATGTTCACTTTGAATGCCAAAATTACAAATACAGACTTGGCTTTATCCTAGGTCTAGTTTCTTCAGCCTTGATATTGTATTTCATGGTGTCTATGAATATTTCATTTGAGTATTAAGTAGGATTTGATGAAAATTGAATGAAATGTTGCACGTCATCATGATGCAATGTTATTGTGAGATTACAGGGACTTTTCCCAGTGAGGCAATAAAACCCTCAGTGTCAGGACTAATTCATGTATTAGTCTGAAATAGAAACATGAATAGCTGGTTATTATCTTCAAATAACTTTTTGGGATGGATGTTTAATGCTTGGCCAGGTTCATATGTTTTTTAAATCTGTTAACACCACAGTCTTGAAATGAAGGAGTAAATTTAAGTTTTGTAAATTGTAGTAAAACCTTTTCATGGCAAATAGTTTTTGATATGTCAGCATAAAAAGAGATTCTGAATAAAACCAGAGTGGTACGTGCTGCTAAGATGTATGCCTTGTTACTGGTGCCTTAACTGTGCTCCGATACACAGAAGTAGTTATTCCACAATATGGGTTATCGATTAGAATATGTTGGAAATGAGTTGTTTAACATATGAGTTGCTAGTGACATGTTCTGATGTTGTTTAACACAGGGTTCCAGGCAACGGGTTCTGATGTTGTTTAACACAGGGATCCAGGCAACAGGTTCCGATGTTGTTTAACACAGGGGTTGGTAGCAACAGGTTCTGATGTTGTTTAACACAGGGTTCCAGGCAACATGTTCTGATGTTGTTTAACACAGGGTTCCAAGCAACAGGTTCTGATGTTGTTTAACACAGGGTTCCAGGCAACAGGTTCTGATGTTGTTTAACACAGGGATCCAGGCAAAAGGTTCTGATGTTGTTTAACACAGGGTTCCAGGCAACAGGTTCTGATGTTGTTTAACACAGGGATCCAGGCAATATGTTCTGATGTTGTTTAACACAGGGTTCCAGGCAACAGGTTCTGATGTTGTTAACACAGGGATCCAGGCAATTTGTTCTGATGTTGTTTAACACAGGGTTCCAGGCAACATGTTCTGATGTTGTTTAACACAGGGATCCAGGCAATATGTTCCGATGTTGTTTAACACAGGGTTCCAGGCAACATGTTCTGATGTTGTTTAACACAGGGTTCCAGGCAACAGGTTCTGATGTTGTTCAACACAGGGTTCCAGGCAACATGTTCTGATGTTGTTCAACACAGGGTTCCAGGCAACAGGTTCTGATGTTGTTCAACACAGGGATCCAGGCAACAGGTTCTGATGTTGTTTAACACAGGGATCCAGGCAACATGTTCTGATGTTGTTTAACACAGGGTTCCAAGCAACAGGTTCTGATGTTGTTCAACACAGGGTTCCAGGCAACAGGTTCTGATGTTGTTTAACACAGGGTTCCAAGCAACAGATTCCGATGTTGTTTAACACAGGGTTCCAGGCAACATGTTCTGATGTTGTTTAACACAGGGTTCCAGGCAACAGGTTCTGATGTTGTTTAACACAGGGTTCCAGGCAACAGGTTCTGATGTTGTTTAACACAGGGTTCCAAGCAACAGATTCCGATGTTGTTTAACACAGGGTTCCAGGCAACATGTTCTGATGTTGTTAACACAGGGTTCCAGGCAACAGGTTCTGATGTTGTTTAGCACAGGGATCCAGGCAAAAGGTTCTGATGTTGTTTAACACAGGGATCCAGGCAAAAGGTTCTGATGTTGTTTAACACAGGGTTCCAGGCAACAGGTTCTGATGTTGTTTAACACAGGGGTTGGTAGCAACAGGTTCTGATGTTGTTTAACACAAGGTTCCAGGCAACAGGTTCTGATGTTGTTTAACACAGGGTTACAGGCAACATGTTCTGATGTTGTTTAACACAGGGGTTGGTAGCAACAGGTTTTGATGTTGTTTAACACAGGGGTCCAGGCAACATGTTCTGATGTTGTTCAACACAGGGTTCCAAGCACCAGGTTCTGATGTTGTTTAACACAGGGTTCCAGGCAACAGGTTCTGATGTTGTTAACACAGGGGTTGGTAGCAAAAGGTTCTGATGTTGTTAACACAGGGGTTGGTAGCCAAAGGTTCTGATGTTGTTAACACAGGGGTTAGTAGCAAAAGGGTCTGATGTTGTTTAACACAGGGTTCCAGGCAACAGGTTCTGATGTTGTTTAACACAGGGTTCCAGGCAACAGGTTCTGATGTTGTTTAACACAGGGTTCCAAGCAACAGGTTCTGATGTTGTTTAACACAGGGATCCAGGCAACAGGTTCTGATGTTGTTTAACACAGGGTTCCAGGCAACAGGTTCTGATGTTGTTTAACACAGGGATCCAGGCAACATGTTCTGATGTTGTTTAACACAGGGTTCCAGGCAATATGTTCTGATGTTGTTTAACACAGGGTTCCAGGCAACAGGTTCTGATGTTGTTAACACAGGGTTCCAGGCAAAAGGTTCTGATGTTGTTTAACACAGGGTTCCAGGCAATATGTTCTGATGTTGTTTAACACAGGGTTCCAGGCAACATGTTCTGATGTTGTTTAACACAGAGTTCCAGGCAACATGTTCTGATGTTGTTTACCACAGGGTTCCAGGCAACATGTTCTGATGTTGTTTAACACAGGGTTCCAGGCAACATGTTCTGATGTTGTTCAACACAGGGTTCCAGGCAACATGTTCTGATGTTGTTCAACACAGGGTTCCAGGCAACAGGTTCTGATGTTGTTAACACAGGGTTCCAAGCAACAGATTCCGATGTCCTAGGTGGCAAATATCGTAGTTGGCAATTGTTTGGGTGTCAGTTTCAACAGTAATAATATCAAATCATTATTTGTGCCAGTAGTGGGAAGAAGGTAGCCCAAAGCGTCAACAATCTGAAGTTTCCTTGAACTCCCACTGTGGGTCCTGATGAGACTTTGCTCAGAGAGTTGAAGTGAAGCCACTGTAGAAGGTAGGCGTACTGACAGTAAGAGTCCTTTTTACAACAGTCTGGTGGAATGCAGGGGTCGATTTAACTGCTGGCCCATTGGCCCGTGGCCAGTTAAAATTACTAAATGCTTACTGAAACATAAAGTAGATGGCCCGTCTGGCTAGTCAAAATTTTTCCCTTCTCTTTAATTTTTATAATCGGACACTGCTCATGAATCATGTAATTTCGATGCAATAATATTTAAGGGGGATGAGGCTGTGTGAATGGTTGGCTTAAAGATCAACCTGGTAGAATGACACAACCGGTGACCATTTTGTAATGTTCTGTACAATAACAACATCTTTATTTGCTGATAAAATCACCACAAAATTAGGCAAATGGAAGCCATTATTTAATCTCAGAGTGCAGGAGATGATGTTTTAGGGGTGAAGAGTTCTAAAATTTTCAGACTCTCCTGGGTAACACAGTCGTGGCCTCCAACATTTTGTTTTGGGCTAGGTAGTTTGTAGAAAGACCAGTAACTTTTGAAAGGAGCAAGCCAAGCTGGGAACATATGAACTTATTGTTAAATCTCCCCCTGGAATGTGTCCTATGTCAGGACTGTGTGGCACTGATACATCTGTTTATGCTGCTCATGTCTAGTCCATGTCATGTCACACTTGTACACAGCTTATACCAACGTCATGTCAGTGTTGTGCTGATCCTATACCAGTGTCAAGTCCGATAGCTTGGTGGTACACTGACATTAACACAGGAGGTTGTAACAGACTGTTTCTCCTGAATGAACTAATGTAAAAGTCCTGGAGCAAGTTGATGAGGGATTCTTTACATTCATCATACGGGGACAGACAATTTGTTTTCGTGAGGTGTTTTTTAAAAGCGAGTGAATCTGTGCTGTCACATGTCACAAGCAGCCATATCACTGCTCGGTCAGTATGGCTTGTAAGTAAGGCGGGGTGAAATGGGGTTTAACATCACTTTCAAGATTATTGCACTTATATAGAAACGTGGCATGTAATTAAACTAGTCATACCAGAACAGAACGTGGTTGACAGCATGATAAATGTCCAACACTATTACGTGCTTTGAACAGTTTTTTAGTCATATCAGTGCATGTCAGCTTAATGAATGACACGGGTTGAAGACATTAGGACTAATCTGGGCAATAACAGGCATTACACACAGTACATTATCACTGTATTCATAGCTGTGACAGTGTCAAACTATCTGACATATTTTCTTATGTAAAAAAAAGCTTATTTGTACAACTTGTACTTTTTAACTGTTCAATATCTGACATTTCCATGTGTCCAAAGTCTCTATACACCTCTGAATCTGGTATAACCAAGTGTCCAAGGTCTCTAATCACCTACCTTTTCCCATTTCCCAATCTTCCACTCGGCACAGGGTGTATTTTCACACATGCGAGATACAGCCGGTCTCGGCACGGTGAGACACAGGTTGGCCGACACGCTCATGGTGAAGGTCGGCGAGATCCTCCTGTTGCACTCTACAGTCCGAGTTTGAATCCCCTTCCCACAGGTTGAGCTGCACTCTGTCCACTCTGCAGGCTCCCAGCTGCAACATGCACAACATGCTGTAGGATGTGATGTCACGATTTGTTTTGTTACTCATGCCAGTCAATAGTAATAATTCTTCTTTGCTACTGGAGAAACACTGTGATTTGAAATGTTTATTTTTAAGAAATTCTTCATTTCTCATGTTCTTCATTATTAAACTATGCTTGTGATATTTTACGAACATGAAATAAATCAAACCATAGATTTAATTAAGTTTTGCATTTTGTATTGTAAATGCGAAAAAAGTGCTGGATTCATCACAAACTTTTTACATGTCGTAAAGCAAGGAATCTGCAAGAATGGGGCTGCATCTAACTCACACCGAGGACAAGGTCAAAATGGCTGTATCTAACTCACACCGAGGACAAGGTCAAAATGGCTGTATCTAACTCTCACAGAGGACGAGGTCAAAATGGCTGTATCTAACTCACACCGAGGACAAGGTCAAAATGGCTGTATCTAACTCTCACAGAGGACGAGGTCAAAATGGCTGTATCTTACTCACACCGAGGACAAGGTCAAAATGGCTGTATCTAACTCAGAGGACAAGGTCAAAATGGCTGTATCTAACTCTCACAGAGGACAAGGTCAAAATGGCTGCATCCAACTCTCACAGAGGACAAGGTCAAAATGGCTGTATCTAACTCACACCGAGGACAAGGACAAAATGGCTGTATCTTACTCTCACAGAGGACAAGGACAAAATGGCTGTATCTAACTCTCACAGAGGACAAGGACAAAATGGCTGTATCTAACTCACACCGAGGACAAGGTCAAAATGGCTGTATCTAACTCACACCGAGGACAAGGTCAAAATGGCTGTATCTAACTCACACCGAGGACAAGGTCAAAATGGCTGTATCTAACTCTCACAGAGGACGAGGTCAAAATGGCTGCATCTTACTCACACCGAGGACAAGGTCAAAATGGCTGTATCTAACTCTCACAGAAGTCAAGGTCAAAATGGCTGTATCTAACTCAGAGGACAAGGTCAAAATGGCTGTATCTAACTCAGAGGACAAGGTCAAAATGGCTGTATCTAACTCTCACAGAGGACAAGGTCAAAATGGCTGCATCCAACTCTCACAGAGGACAAGGTCAAAATGGCTGTATCTAACGCACACATAGAACAAGGTCAAAATGGCTGTATCTAACTCTCACAGAGGACAAGGTCAAAATGGCTGTATCTAACTCACACAAAGGACAAGGTCAAAATGGCTGTATCTAACGCACACAGAGGACAAGGTCAAAATGGCTGTATCTAACTCACACAGAGGACAAGGACAAAATGGCTATATCTAACTCTCACAGAGGACAAGGACAAAATGGCTGTATCTAACTCACACCGAGGACAAGGTCAAAATGGCTGTATCTAACGCACACAGAGGACAAGGTCAAAATGGCTGTATCTAACGCACACAGAGGACAAGGACAAAATGGCTATATCTAACTCTCACAGAGGACAAGGACAAAATGGCTGTATCTAACTCACACCGAGGACAAGGACAAAATGGCTGTATCTAACGCACACAGAGGACAAGGTCAAAATGGCTGTATCTAACGCACACAGAGGACAAGGACAAAATGGCTATATCTAACTCTCACAGAGGACAAGGACAAAATGGCTGTATCTAACTCACACCGAGGACAAGGTCAAAATGGCTGTATCTAACTCTCACAGAGGACGAGGTCAAAATGGCTGTATCTAACTCTCACAGAGGATGAGGTCAAAATGGCTGTATCTAACTCACGTAGAGCACACAATCAAATTGATGTGTATCTAACTCACATGGAGGTCAGGATCAAAATGGTTGTGAGTGACTCACCCTGGTGGACATGGGTGGTTGTTGCAGGTGACTCTCTGTCTCTGGGGAATGCCTTTGGGGTCACAATTCTCCTCCGTCACCACAAATCCTGAACTCCTCTTCACACACACAATCTCAGTTTCCTGGACACCTGGGGAAAACAAACACACAATCATAATCACTGCACATATAGCACGGATCATTTCTAAACATATTCAGTGAGGGAGTGAGTGTTGTATCATGCCACAGTCTGCCATATTCCAACTATAGCCATGTGGTTTGTAAATGATGGAAGTTGGACCAGGTAGATCAACATGAGCATTGTTCCCACAGTAGTTGATCTACATAATCCAGGGCACACATTGAAACCACCCAATCCTCATTGACTCCTACAACAAGCACTGGCATACTAGAGACATATTCTGCCCCAAAACACCCAGGGGTCAGAGATAACATTTACAAAAAACACATATATTTCTTGAGATCTCATCAATTAATGCTATCTTGTCCTAGTGTTGAGTGAGTGAGTGAGTGAGTGAGTGAGGTTTTACGCCGCTTTTAGCAATATTCCAGCAATATCACGGCGGGGGACACCAGAAATGGGCTTCACACATTGTATCCATGTCGGGAATCGAACCCGGGTCTTCGGCGTGACGAGCCAACGCTTTAACCACTAGGCTACCCGACCACCCCCTAGTGTTGAGGACTGACACACATACAAAATTTACATGCTTGCTTTAAGAGGTGACTATGCTTGTCATAAGAGGCGACTAATGGGATTGGGTGGTCAGGCTTGCTGACCTGATTGATGCATGTCATCGTATCCCAATTGTGTGTATTGATGCTCATGATATCAATCACCGGATTGTCTGGTCCGATTATTTGAGATTATGGCCATCATGTAGCTGGAATATTGCTGAGTTTGGCAATAAACAAACAAGCAAACAAACAAACAAAACATTCTCATTACTTTTTAAGTTTTGATTTTTTATTTGTACACTACATCATCCCAACCCAACAGCATAAGGTATGAGAGGTATTCCTGTTATCATTGGGTCCTGGGCTGCTTCCTCTGCAGATTGACCTGTAGGTCTGCCTGCCAGTGTAAGCGGGGAATTAACCATCATCACCCCCCTGACACTGGGGATTAGGAAAGGTTTAAATGTCGGGGAGGTGGGCCCCGGATTAACTGAGTGTCAACTTTGACTATGTCAAGGCTCTGTCTCACACTGTCGTTGTCATATTTATCAGATTATGTGAGCATCACTCTCCCGACCTGCTGGCAAAATGCATGAAATTCGACCCTCAGATGGTTACAGGACAATATGGAGGGCGCAGGTATTGCACCAGTATGTCTGGGCATTTATCATGTTAATGTAGTCCTCTTTAAAAATGGATGAACATCACCTAATGAAATTGAGTTTTGAAAGTTACATGCGGTGATGTTCTGGTTGACTGGGGATTAATAGCTGATAGAAATCACTGCTAAATTGTTGAAGGGTTAGATTTCAGAATTACAATATATAGTGTGGAGATGTTATCTAAATGAGATTTAACATTGTAGTGAATAGGTTTGCTTAAACTGTGACATGAATCACATATTACCTCATGTTTCCTCTGACGTGCTGATCAGATGGCTGTAGCTGTGTGTGTGTGTGTCTTAGATAGAGCAGTTCCAAGATAATGTGGTTTGATAAGCATCTCAAAGTAAGAGAATTTGCAACCTGAGAACTCAAAGTTGTAGTGAACCTTTATTCAAACTTCCCACAACAATTTAGAATGACTGAAGAGTTAACAATGAATAATTCAAGGTCTTCTACACAAATATTTCCATGCCACGCCTTACTGCTGGACCAACAACTGATGCGACAAACTCACATCCTGTCCTACCACACCTCAACCTCTACTACAGAAGCTCATCCTTCACAGTTTACTGCTGGATCTTATTCCACCAAGCCTCACTACAATCCTTCTACTAAGGACACCCCTTCCTCCACCGCTCTATTCTAGAACCCGAGAAGCAGGAACTCATACCACCACCACCACCACCACCATCTCTTCCTCACTCAACCACATCCCATCCTGCACCTCTCTATTCTAGGACCCGAGAACCAGGAAATCATACCACCACCACCACCAACATCTCTTCCTCACTCAACCACATCCCATCCTGCACCTCTCTATTCTAGAACCCGAGGACCAGGAACTTTTGGGATAGGACATTCAGGTAAGAAGTAGGCATCCTCATGGGGCCAAGTATGCTTCCCTCGTTGATTTGTTCTTTAATGCTTATGATTCGGAATTTGTGCTCAGATTAGCAAAAACAAAACACAGGATTTGTCCAAGACATTTAAATGAAGCTGCAGACATATCAATGATCTGATATATCGTTCAATAATGGTCAAACTGCCAATTTACTTCCTCTGATTTAATCACCTGAACTAGAAACATAGCAGACCAGTGAAACCACCTCTATTAAACTCAGGATCTGGACAATGCAATCACAGAATCTCCCAATATAGACTATTCCCCATGAACATTTGGCCACCAATAAAGAGATAATTCCCCACATCCAACAATAACTTTTTTTGTTAACACTTAGAAAATGGAAGATTTGGGATGTGCTGAAACCATGAAAGTATTTTGATACAGGGCTTATGTTTGTTAGAGTTAGTGGAGGAAATTGGAATGAATATTAGGTAAGGATTACGAACAGGCACACTGCACACCCACTGACTCTCTGTTGGATGAATGAAGAATAAATAAGGATTACATACAGGCACCATACACCCCAACCCAAGATCTAGGAATACCTGCTGTAGCCCAATGTGGCTGTTAACGTTGACAGGAATTCAGCTTTGTTTACTCAACTGTCCTGGACAGGAATACTTAGGTTGAACTGGTGGTGTGTGACAACTAAATCTGGCTGTTATCTCTACATGTCAAGAACAGCATGATTGGTCCATTAAATTGTGATACATTCCTTCGCATATCGCTGTATCTGTTGACCGCCTCCATGGGGTGGTGGACTGAGCATCTGACCAAAGAGCAGAAGGTCAGTGGTTCTATACCCTGGCAGCATCATACCAAAAGATGGTAATTGTTGTTGCCTTGCCTGGTGCTTAGTATTGAGGGGATAAAACAAGAACTGGTGGGCTTACAGTCATAAATCTGGACTAGTACACGCACACGCACGCACACGCACACGCACACGCACAGAGGAGACGTTGAGTTGGCTGGAATTATTTTCATCACACATCGGATAACAAGGATGGACATACAACCTCTAATGGAGAAAGGGTGATTCACACACTGCATGACACCAGCGTAGGATTCCAGTCACCAGTGTTCTTTGCACCAAAGAAGAACATGTCAGAGATGCGTATGATCATTGACTTAAAGCTCATCAACAAGAACTACCTGGTTCATCTACCCAAGTTCCAGATGGAATCAATCATGAAGCTATGAACTGCTCTCAGGAGACCAGCATAGACCTACAGGATGCCTATCTCCATATCCCCATCCATCCAGAGTGCTGAAACTACCTACGGATTGCCATCGACAGAAGGAGATTCAAATTCTACCATTTGATATATCAATAGCACTATAGCTATTCCCTCGGAGAACAACACCAATCATCGGCTTTGGTCACCTACTGAACATCTAGTTAGAATACACGGCTACATCAGCGACTTCCTCTCTACTGATCACAACAAACATCAGTTGAAACAGAACACCATCGTCCCGATCCAACCACCTACCTGGGGTTCCTGGTTCATCCTACCAAGTTTGTGATTTGACCCGGACAGGTCTTTGTATACACTGGGGCCAGGTTCCAGATCCAAGAACGTAGCCTTGGCCCTCCAGAGGAGTGTTACGAGAAGTCTTGGGTAATGATCGTGGAAGCAATCAATCAGCCCTACAGATATTGTCATTGGTGGTAATGTCATGTCTGGGAAGACTAACACCTCTACAAGACCTCACCTACATTAGGGACAACTTCAGCTCAACCTAATTCAGACATGGATGAACTTGATGAACTAGAACCCTAGTACAACTATCTCGAGCAGTTAGTTGACTTGAAAAGGAGGATGGATTGTCATGACACTCAAGAGTTCCCATGCTATTCTCACCCGTCACCCACCCAGAGCATTACCTCTACACGGACACATCTGGAGCGGGATGGGGCGCTCGCATGGATGGATCTACACTCCAATGAACATGGCCAGATCCAGACGGCTCTTCACATTAATTGCCTGGACATGATGGCAATCTACCATGCAACAAAGCATTGGGAGACAAGTTGAGAGACAAACACTCGTCAGAATATGGACATCTTCAGGTCACTTCTATGTAACAGAGGTAGGGTGTTCAAAGGAATTATCAAACAATACTTATCATATGTTTACAATTCTAAGAATACTACCTCTATTACATCAGTAGACCCTCCCATCTTCCCAATATATCTGCATCCCATTGATGTAATTATTGGAAAGAAGTCACATGACAGTTTCCCGCTCATGCGCATATAAATTTGGATCGTAATACGGTTTCCCTTACAACTGATTGTGATAGCTGATAGTGAAGAGGAAGTTTATTTTAGTGTGATGATAGTCAAATTGCAAGAATTTTGGCAATGAAGAAATAGAGGTAGTACTCTTAGAATGATACACAATGATAACTATTGTTTGATTTCTGGTGTCCCCTGTTGTGATATTGCTGTGAATATTGCTGAAAGTGGCTTAAAATGCCAAACCATTTGATCACTCTTTGAAAAGACAAGAAAGAAAACAGCATTTCTCTCAAATTAGACATGTTTCTTGCTCTTCTTGTGCATCACCACATGTGCCGACGTAGACACAATTGTAACTAAGTGTACTGTTACATAAAAAAGAAACCAACTGTGTCCACTTGGGATATAAAAGTCTCACCTGTCCACTTAACATTTTTAAACTCAAGGCTTTGACAAAATAATTGGGATTTACGACCTAATAACAATAGCCAAAGAAATCTGATAAAGCATTTAAAATAGTCAAGAGTAAGTTTATCCAAAGATGGTAGAATTGTGTAACTGGTGAAGCATACAACTTGTGCAGAGAGTGTGATGTGTTGGAGTGGCAGCTGAATGAGGAGTGATGGTCTAGGTCTCAG